ATAATAAAAGTACAGTGATCAATTATATTTCGAAATTTCATATAAGTATAACAATTGATGCATTGGTGATATTCGAATAATTCTTGATAGTATTCGATGTATATACTGTAAAAATGATATTTCTAAGTAAAAATTAATTAATATTTATAAAATTAACATGGTACCTTATTTAATCAGAATCTGACAATTGTTCTAAATCTGGATACAATCTCTCTGTCTGTGGCTGAACATGTGATGAACTTGCTACATTTTCACTAGTACCGTATTTTTTAGCATATCCTCTGCATGTGTCACAAATTATATCACCAATGTTAACAAGATTATTATCAGATTCTTTTTTCTTATTAGATAATTATGCATCAATTGTTATACTTATATGAAATTTCGAAATATAATTGATCACTGTACTTTTATTATATAATATTTTTCAATAATTTTTATATCAATATGCTACATGTCCATTACTTTATAACTATGTAAAATTTCATTAAAATCCAACATGATTAATCCTTATTCCGATACCTCCTTTTAATTAATTGGGAAAGAACTGCATTAAATAGATGTATAAAATACTTTTTACCGATTTTGGCTAAGTGTTATAACAAAAAACTTATTAAAGTTTTGCCAGAATAATTTTCACGTGTACGACCTTATATAATAAAAATGATCATAAATATTGCAAATAAAATAAAATTTATTTACCAAATAATTGACATTTCTTTATTGCATAGAATTCATGATTACATTTATCGCGAACTTTATATACCTGTCCATAGCAACCCTCACCAAGCTTATTTATTACATCAAATGACTTTTCAAATGATATTGAATTATTCAACTTATCGTGACTTTCTATAATAAAACAAAATAATAATAATCAATTCATTGCACAACATATTGAGGCAACAATTATGGTATTATTGTAATATTTACCACAAATTGGTGTATTTTGTTGAATATTTGTTGAAATTATATTTAAAGTAATTTGCAATTCATGTGAAAAATAATCATCAAATGATTTATAATTGGTTTCAAACAGATCTTTGCCAACAATTTTATATATTTTATCACCAGATTTGCCGACAATTATTGAGTCATGTTTTTGTTTAATTTCATTGAACACAAAATGGGATAATATTTCTAAACACTTATTACGAAAGTAATATCGATATAAATGACCATGGCTAGATAATAAATATGCTTATACAGAATTATGCGGAAGTGCATTGTGTATGATAATTTCAATTACTAATAAATGTGGTGTTTTTATTGTATTGTATTTTAATGGATTAGTTTCTACCCTTCCCCATATAAGCACCTGTCCTTCACAAGTAAGTGCTAATGATGTATATGTATTGCACTCTATTTTACTAATTTGATATTCAGTGGCAAATTCTACAGGATTTGGATCTAATTGAATGCTTTCATCGCCACAACTAACCTGTCCCCAGCCATTACTCCCCCACCCGAATACCTGTCCATTTGATGTCAACACAATTGTGTGATAATCACCACAACTTATTTGTGAAATAATTAAATTGTTTGTTTGGAAATATAATATAGCTCCCGGTTTATGGTATACATTCACATCCATATCCACATGCCGTCCCAATTGTCCCTCATCATTGCAACCGAAACCGAATATCACATTATTATCCGTATTGACAGCCAATACAAAGTCAGATCCGCTTAAAAACTGATGAATACTTTTATGGCATAATTCTGGCACTCGTTGTGGTGTATGAATGGGTGTGTTGTGTCCAAACCCGAGCTGACCCCTTATATTAGATCCCAATCCATACACCATATCATCAAATGTTACAAACAGTATGTTATGTTCCCTCAAGTCTTTGAAAACATAAAAATATTTAATTTCTTGTTTTAAATGTTGTGGTATTTGATCACAAATTTTATAATTATTAATTACAGTTGACATTTTATTATATAATTATTTTTCACAAACAATAATAATCATGAATATTAATTATATTAATTCAATAATCAATAAACATTTATTTGTATAATAATTATACAAAATGGTGACAATAGTTATTAATTTTTATACAATTTACTCCACAATCGTGTATATAACTATAATATAATATAACAACACGTATCATAACTTTATTATGAAAAACAAATATCGATAACATGATTATTGCTAAGCAAGTAATCAGTCAGATTGTTGAGATTATTAAATATACTGTACAATAGCGTAGTGTCTCTTATATTAATAATATTGACACTCTATGTATTGTATATACAGTTTGTGTCTATTGTTTGATATAATTATTAAATAAAATTCTATAATATTTTTGTCGAGAAATAATTGTTTTAATAAATTCATACAGATCATATTACGAGCATAATTACATTTGAATGAATACATGACCATGTTCAATTCAACCATAATATCTTCCTTTTTAAAATCAAATGACTTTCTTATAACCGTCAATAATTGATCCATGTCAATCTTATTGTCCATAAATTATGTACAATATAATAAATTATTATAATTTATTAAACAAAATTGTATTTATTAAATACCCAAATAATTGTTTTAAACTTACAAATAATATACTTTTATGATAATGAATACAACCGTTAAGATATTTTATTTTGTACTTTGTATATATATATATAGGTACCTCAAATTTAGATTATTATTCAAAGATCATGTCGGTGTCGAGATATGATAATTTATAAACGAGATTTCATTGTTACCATTAAAATATATGATGTTTATTATAAACAAATTATTAAAAATTATTATTCTAACTGTAAGGATTAATGAGTTAGACTGGTTTATATTCTTATATTTCAAACATAAATAAAAAGAAAACCACATTAGATTTTTAATTAGTTTTTTCACTAAAGTATGTATACATATAAGCTTTGTTAATTCTATTTAAAAATATTTTTAAAAACATTTAACTTGTACCAGAATATGATGTTTAAAAAATAGAAACTTGAATTCAATGGTATTGCCAAAAAAGACTAGAGTATGAAAAGTTATTTTAATAGCTTCAGTAGTCTACTTTAAGTTAATGAAGAGAAACTCTTGAGACTGTCATGGCAATACGGTGATTTTTGAAATAATAAAAATTATGACATGCACAATTTTTCATAACTTGAATTTATACCCTAGATCGATTCACCTTTGAAAAATAATTTTATGATGGTTGAACCCATAAATTACGTCATGACACAATGTCGTTATTTATGGATGGAAATAATTTTAGATTACAGTATTTTTAATGCTAATACTAAAAATCACATTTTTAAATTTTTCTGACAATAAATAACGAAGTTATGGCATGACGTAATTGATGAATTCTGAAAATTGACATTTTATTTTTCGACGGGGAATTGATTTAGTGGGTTAGTACAAAGTTGAAAAAATACCTGAAAA